CTTTTACTTATGAGCTTCCCCTCAAGGTTTTAAAACGCATCTGTTAGGAGAGGTTTCTACACCCTTACAAGGAATGCTTCGTTTTCCTCTCCAACCGATGTGGGATATCACAATTCACCTCCTTGAGGCTCAACGTCCTAACTGGCACACCGCTCAATGATTGGCTTTGATGCCATTTGTAACAGCCCAAGCCCACCGCTAACAGATATTGTTCTCTTTGGACTTTCCCTTCTGAATTTTCCCTCAAGGTTTTAAAACTTTTAAAATACGTCTGTTTAAGAGAGGTTTCCACATCCTTATAATGAATGATTCGTTTTCCTCTCCCCCGATGTGGGATCTCACAATCCACCCCCCTTGAGGCCCAACTCATCGTTAGCACACTGCCTAGCGACTGGCTTGATACCATTTGTAACAACTCAAACCCACCACTACCCGATATTGTCCTCTTTGGGCTTGCACTTCTAAGCTTTCACTCAAGGTTTTAAAACACATCGGTTTGGAAGAGGTTTCCACACTCTTATAAGGAATGCTTTGTTCCCCTCTCCAACCGATGTGGGATCTCACAAATTTCAAACGGCAAATACAATCAGGCAAGTGATGAAAATGCATCATATAAAAACATGTAAAGCAACATAAGGAGAAAAGAAAAGAAAAGAAATCTAACATTTAAGAGCCGATCCTGCAAGACAAGTCAGCCTTGATTTTGTATTTGCCTCAGCTAATGGATTTGGCTTGTCCTTAATGGCCATTCGAACATCCCAGACACGTATAACTCCATCTGATGATGCAGATGCAACTATATGTGGATCATCATCAGAGAAAGCACCAGAGGAATTCTTCGTGAGTACAACAATCCCTTTCACACGGGCAGCATGCGCTTCTTCTATAGAATATGCCACCTTCCCACTTTTTACATCCCACGCCGTAACACAACGGTCCTCTCCACCGGTAAGCAGAATGCCATTCTGTCAAAGTTTCAAGAACAATTCAACACAAGGTAGACAAACCTTTTGTAAACTTAGGAACTAAAAAGCGTTGAACAATTTATAATCTCTGAATCAGTTCTATTACACAAGTATGGAACACAGTGTTCAGTAACAAACAGCAAATACGATCCAAAGCAAAACATTAATGAGAGAGACTGACCTCGCAAGGCGTAGCACAAAGAACCCGCTTCTTGTTCTCGAATTCGCACAGCAACCGTGCATCCTCTGCCTCATGCACCGATACCTTCTCCTCCATAACCATAAAAAACTTATCCCCACCAACATCAAAATTCACCAAGCTGGCCTCTTTGCCCAACCTGCAATAGAAACTCCTCTTTCCACGAACCAAATTTATCATGGCCAAGCATTCATCATGACCCACTGTCAACGCGAGCTTTCCAGAGGGGTGGATAGAAAGATCGTTAATAGCCTTCCTGTGAGGCAACACAGTCTTAAGGTGGACAAAAGGGTCGGCGTCGTAGATACATACGGATCCATCTGCAGCAGCAGACACGAGGTTACGAGGAAACGATAGGTTGGGAGGGGTGTAGAACGAAAGAGCAGTTAGAGATGCAGAGTGGTCGTGAAGCGATCCAAGAGAGGAAGCGGAGGAAAGGTCATAGAGGTGGATGGTATCATCAGCGCCACCGGAAGCAGCGACAGGACCGGCGGCGGCGAGGGTTCTGATGGAGGAGAGATGAGAAGGGTAGGAGAAAAGAGGGGTGAGGGACAGAGTTTGGGGTTCGGACGGTTTAAGCTTGAACCCCCAAATGAATCTTTCGTACGAGCCTGCTATGAGACTCATGGAGGCGGAGGCGGAAGGAAGCGGTCTCCGGCAGCAAGGTGTCGGAGATTGGCCTGACTTGTACAAACCTTCGTCTAAGAGAAATTTTGCGGGGTTTCGCTAGGGTTTTAGGATGCGCGCCGCTTTCTGCAGTCTCCGCGCCTTGACACAAATATATTATTATTATTATTATTATTATTATATTAAGTCAGGGCTCTTTTTTATGATTTATTTTCTTTTTCCAAAATAAAATTTAAGGGAAAAAATCAATTTTTTCCTTTTCCAAACAATTTTATCTCTTGAATATTAAATCTTTTTTCTTTTTCTTTTTTTCGTTAAAAAAAAAATCGATTTTACCTTAAAAACGCACCCATTTTTATGATCAATTTAATAAAATAAAAATAAAATAAAATTAATAAAAATAATAATTTTTAACACTCAAGTAAAATTTTTAAATCTTTTAAAAATTAAGAGATATTTTTAAACTGGTCAAAATTTAAAAGTATTTTTGAAATATTATTTACAGTTTTTTTTTAAGTTTAAAAGTATTATTAAAATTTATAAAGATATTTTTTTATACCAAAGTATTTTTATTAATTTAACAAATAAAAAATAGTTAATTTCAGTAAATTCTATATTTATAGAAAATAAATTTATTTTAAAAAGATAAAATACCCGTGAAAAAATGGGAATAGAAAATTGGATAGAACAAGAGAGGGAAAACTGAAGAATCAAAGATTGAAGCTTTCCGCTGGGATTTTGTTTGATCTTTTGGGAAGAGAGAAAGAGAGAGAGTATTTTTGGGGAAGTGGGCGTCACAGTGGTGTGGCGAAAGCAAACAAATAGCGGAAGCGATGCCATTGACAGCCCAATTCACTCTTCCCGGGCACTGTACCGAAGAACCATATTCCAATTCTGGCAGACGACGTCTCAATACGAAGCCCCACTCCCGAGATTCGCCTCTTTAATGCCCTCTGCCTTCTCCCTCTTCATTTCTTTCAATCGAAACGCATCAATGGCTGACGACGAATCGCAATCTCGACCTCCCCTCGAAGCCGATTCTTCTGCTCCTCCGCCACTGCCGCCCCCGCCTCCCTTTGATCCCAGTCGAAGTAACATTCCTTTATCCAACTTAGGGTTTTTTTTTTTTTTTTTTTCTTCCTTTGGTGTTGAATGTCGTTTTAGGGATTTATTAAGGCCAGGTGGTTCTGATCTTATCTGTCATGTAATGGGGTTTCTACTCTCGAGAACCTTTTACCTTTTTCTTTTAAGCAATTGATATTCGATGGATTTATAGATTTTAGCTATGGGATTGGACGTATTAGCTCCCTTCTTGTTCTTGAGTTGTTTTCTGATTGTGGTTTTCTTCCTTTTGAAGTGATTGGTATCATCAAACGGAAAGCCTTGGTAAAAGAGCTAGCTGCAGCATATCACGCTGAGTGTCTTCTGTACTGCCAAGAGCTTCTTGAGCTTCAAAGAAAGTGGGACGAGGTTTGAAATCCACCCTTATATTTTTTTCTTCAGAGGTTTAATCAAGATGTTTCAACTATATTAGTGAACCACTGATCTCCATTCAATGTTTGAACGGGAGATAATTTGTGTGAGATCCCATATCGATTGGTGAAGGAAAGGAAACATTCTTTACAAGGGTGTGTAATGTCTCCCCAGCATAAGCGTTTTAAAAACCTTGGGAAGCCCAAAAAGGACAATATCTGTTAGCGGTGGGTTTGAGCTGTTACAAATGATATTAGAGTCAGACATTGGGCGATATGCTAGCGAGGACGCTGGCCCCCAAAGGGGTGGGTTGTGAGATCCCACATTGGTTGGAGAGGTGAACGAAGCATTCCTTATATAAGGGTGTGGAAACCTCTCCTAAGCATACGCATTTTAAAAACCTTGTGGGAAAACTCGAAAGGCAAAGTCCAAAGAAGACAATATCTATTAGTAATAGGCGGTTACCGTTTGAGTTTTTAATTTGTTTTCAGCCTATTCTATCATATCACTTGGTCTCTTCCGGTGTGCCCTTCTGGTTTCCTTCCAGGCCAGCCAAGTTCCAAAGCCACGATTACACATTCATGATAAACTTTGATTTCTTTCAATGTGCCTATAGACTTTCATGGGGTTCCTGATTTGCCTTCACCTATGCTTCCCACAAGGCTATCAGGAGTATAAGCAGTTATATGTAGGATTATAAGCGATCAAGAAACTTGTGAGATCCACATTAGGGGTAAAGAACTTGTGAGATCCCACATCAAGGGTAAAGAACTTGTGAGATCCCACATCGGTTGGGGTAAAGAACTTGTGAGATCCCACATCGGTTGGGGAGGAGAACGAAACATTCTTTATAAGGGTATAGAAACCTCTCCCTTTAAAAACCTTTAGGGGAAGCCCTCACGAAAATGGGATGTTACCAAGCTTGTATAGCTGGCCTATCTGAATTAATCATAAATGCAATTTTCACGATGGTAATGATATTCACATATTAGAAAACCAATGATTTAAGTTTGAATATTTTTTACTTACTCATTGTGTCTTGATATGTTTGCAGCCATATATTGAATTAAAAGTACCTGAGGATCCAAGAAAGGAGACAATGAAGCCTAGCAAACGTCAGAAGAAAGCCCGCTAGGTATTAATATATTACTTAACATACTAGGATTTGCTTAGATCATCCATCTACTAAGCTTTTATGAAACTATTGTGACTGCCAAACAAACTCATGATGAATGCTACTTAGTAATGTTAGATGTTATAACATTCTCGATGCATTCAACAAACAGCTTCTCTGAAATTAGAAGAACATATTTCTTGAGTTAGCAAACCTGTTACCCTTCTACCATTACAGTCTATCATTGTTTGATCTGCAGGTAATAAATACATTCGATACTGCTTACCCGACTTCGCCATCTGATGATTCATCCGTTCTGCAAAGGAAGCTCATGGCACAAAGATGATGGTCCAAGTATTGATAGGCTGATGCTCCATGGAGCCAACAATCTGTACACTCAGTTATGAAAACAATGATGTATATGAAATATTTGTGTGCTTTGTATACTCAATTTGCCAACAGAGTGTCTTTGTTCACAACCTTTGAATTATAAGCTTCGTTTCCCCTTTTTGTTTGGCTGAATCCATGCCACTCAAAATTAATCGAGATCAGCGAGTGAAATTCTCACGAGAAGTAGAAGCTATTCCCTAATTTAAGTGAAAAACGTGAAGGGCGATCATTCTATGTGAAGGGTTATGAGCTTACATTATTCAAAATCTGTTTACAACAATTGTATCTATAATGACGTTACCAAACTTGTAAGGGTCACAAGAAACTATTGCTGCTTAAGACATCAGTGGCTGTAAGGTACATACTTTGTTAAGATGTGAAATTTTTTAACAGTTTTCTCGGATACAAGGTTTAAACCTATAACAAGTTTAGGCTAGCTATTGAATATGGATGCCCACATTCTATGAAGTGGACAACCTTCTGTGGGGGGAGAAACAATCTGTCCTTCCATTTTAGTTTCAACTGATGGTCTAACTTCGTGAACGAATTTGACAGATTCCGATAGCCGATTGAGTAGGTTCATCAGGGCGATTACTTCGTTTCTTTGCAACTGTAACCCAAGAAAATGAAATAAATAAGTTCGAGTTGGTCTGTAACGAAATCCAATTATTCAATGTCATGCAGCAATTTTACCATTACTCTAGCACAAGCTGGACAAGGATGATTATGGTTCATCGAGAAATTCAAAAGACCTACTCGAGATAGATTCATATATGCGTTTTAAGTGCTTAAAAAGAGTATTTGAACATGAAGAAGCAAAATTACTTACATCCAGACCCGAGTGTTCTTGATGATCATCAGCAGAGAAGAGGATCTTCAAGGCAGTACCCAGACCAAGAACCTGAAGCTTTCCCCAAAGTCGACATTTCTCGCATCCAACGCAATCCATCAGTGCACTGCATGACATAGAAAAAGAGAGTTACTACTTGCATAACATTTCATCAAAGAATCAAAGGAAAGAAGAGCGTGTGGCGAAAAAGAATGACCTGATGTTTCTGAATTGCTTTTGTATCTGCTGCACTTCTGGTCCCTGTTGACCTTTCCATAACTTGGCTTCATCAAATGGAAGTGGGCAAGTAGCTTGTAATTTTGAATTGAAAAGAAGCTGTTTCATCAAGGACTGTGTCTTCAGATCTTCGTTCAAATTACCGGTATCATATTCAGCATGCTCCAAGTACTCTGTGGCCTAGAATGCAACCAACAGTGGATTTGTTAAAATTACAGCACCATAAACACAAGCGCTACCTGATATAACTACGTACAATCCTTTTTGAATCAGAGTTCCTACTCACTTTCGTCACAGCTCGAAGAACAAAGAGGTATGTGAAGTACAAGTTTCCGACACGATCGGGATATTGTAGGACGCGGTCATACAGCAAAGTAGGATTTTGACCCCACTGTAAAGAAAAGAAAAATACTTCAAATTACTGGAAACTATAGCCACAGCAATTGCGAAAATCGACGAATAAGAAGCTGTACCGAATTTTTGGTCTCGTCAATTAAATAATCGGCAGCTATATGGACTGAAATAGAGGAATGTAGACCAGATATCATTTTGTATAATATTCTTTGCTCTTGGCACAGCTCTTCTGATGGATCTGGAAAAAGAAAACAAAGAAAAATATGTTCAAGAATAAGGACATGATTTATGAAAGAAAGGAGATGTTCATTATTTGCCTACACCATGCCATGAACTCCTACATTTTATCCTTCAAGATAAAGACCATGAATTAAAATGATACATATCCATATAACTCCATTGAGAAAAGTCCTTATAAAGACCTTTAACCACAAAATCATCACTAAATATCAAATGAACGAAGTACAGAAGCAGAAAGTTGAAACAGGGGAGGAATGCAAAGTGGACTATAGGAAAAATAAGTATACATTCAATCAACAATTCTTGAGAATGACCTACAGTAGTTCTAATTGGTGACCAGAAAAAATGATACTTTAATGAAGAAAAGAGAGTGAGAGACGTTACGTTTCGGGCAGTTCTCTGAATAGACAGAATCCCAAATCCTTTTAGCAGATGGACCAGTGTATCCAGTGTAGCGTTCGGGGTTCAATTGAAGATTTACATATGTCATCTCACCTGGTAGAAATAAAGCAATGGAAATCAAATAAGAGACCAGACAACAGAATAGCCGATGTTCGCACCGAAGTGTTGTATTTAATATAACACACCGTTATCAGTCTCGTCATCATTGGTCCAGGGGTTGTCTATCTCAGTCCAACCTTTGAAAGCTTTACGATCTAATGTACGATCGACAGTAGCTTGTGGCTTTCCCTCTTGACAAACCAAGGCCTCGGATGAAAGGATGTGAGGCTTCTTAAACGACTCAGGGAACTCATTATCTGGGCATTCACAAACACTACAATCTCGCAATCGGCACATACCATCGTCAGGCCAGAAGGGACAATCACACCACAACTTAACCTGTGAATGTGAGCACACATAGGCAATAGGCATATCAGGAAGCTAGATGTGCATAAAACAATAAATAGGAGGAGTATATTACGATATACAATGTGAATGGATTGGACAGAACAAGGTAAGTATCATTATGAGATCTCATATCAATTGGAGAGGAGAACGAAGCATTCTTTATAAAGGTGTGTAAACCTCTCCTTAGCAGACGCGTTTTAAAAACTATGAGGGAAAGCCGGAATAAGATAATATCTGCTTGCGATGTACTTGGGTCGTTACAAATGATATCAGAGCTAGACACCGAGCAATGTGCCAGCGAGGAGGTTAAGTCCAAAAAGGGTGGACATGAGGCAGTGTGCCAGCAAGGACATTGGGCCCCTAAGGGGGTGGATTGGGGGGTCTCACATCGATTGGAGAATGGAACAAGTACCAACGAGAACGCTAGGCCCTGAAGGGGGTGGATTGTGAGATCCCACCTCGGTTGGGAGGAGAACGAAGCATTGTTTATAAAAGTATAGAAACCTCTCTCCTCCATATGCATTTTCTCGTTTCTTGACAAGTTCTTGGAATCATAGCCAAAAGGAGCCTTATTCCACAATCCCTCACCTTAAAACTAGAGCATTTATGCGACAGCCAAACTTATTCCATTCTAATCCAAACTAAACCCTTAGCCTCAAGAACATATAAAACTGCCTCTAAACCAAGAAAGCTTATATTTCGTGAAGTAGCACAGAAGGGTTTATCTCAAATTGACGTTTAGATCAAAATACAACAAGATATGGTATAGCATTAGTTCATCAAAATCAGCCAATTAAACTCAAACAAACCTTGAAATAGCGAAAGAATGGAGTTTTAACAAGCTCTTGAAGGGAAGGATATAACACTTCCTCGTTTAATCGATCTACAGTCTCATAATCACAACAACAATCCTCCACCATACCGCTGTATTTGGGGGTATCCTGTGCATTTAGAACCAAAAAATTAAATGGATGAAATCTTAAAGCTATCAATTCCAGAATTCAAAGCACAGAAACTTAAGATTGCATCAAGAATCAACCAAACCAAACTTCTAAATTATCCTCATTAGCTCATCTCAAATTCAGCAGCCCAAAGAAGACACGAAAAATGTAGTGAAGTGCTAAGCTTAAACGAGAAGTAAACAATGTAGGTGCCTTAATCTCCAAGTTTCTCATCAATCGAGCATAACCAGAGAGAAAGAGTTAAGGTTCAGAAAACGTACATTAGAACAATGGCAGGGCTTATTAGTGCGACCAAAGAGCGAAATCATAGGAGCCGTCCGAGAAGTCATAGCCACAGCAAGCAAAATAGCGATGAAAGCACCTCCTATCATCAAACCCCATCGGTATCTCGGACCGTTTGCACCAACCATAACTTCCGGCGATTCTGTTCAAAGAGATCCCGTCTCCGGCGGCCAAAAACTCGAGGGGGAAATACGGAGAAAGATCAAGTCGGCGATGCGTGAAGACTTGAAGAAGAAACGAAAATTGGTCAATGAACAATGGTTCAATCAGCTGCCAATAAATTGAATTTGAAGACTGAAAAAGCAACCAAAAACGTGTGGAAAAATTCGATGGGCGAACGGATTTGCAAATGGTTTTATAATTATCTCCCCAAACTGCAACTCAACGTCCAAAATCTTCCAATTATGGAAGAAACCTACTGAGGTTTTTGGATCAATTTCTTCTGTTTTATTTCTAGCGTGGAGAGATTGGAATGGGAATTCCTCCATTTTTAAATCATTCATTTTTTCTTTTTAATTCATAATGCTTAAGAACGGTAAATTAAATTTATTATCTAAACGTTATTTAACATCTGTTCTTCCTATTTATTAAACAAATAAAAATCAATGAAATTCATGTAGTTGACAAATAATTATTACAAATTAGGAGTCTTGTTTCAAAAATTGAACAATATCCGCCTTTAAATCAACCAAATTTCTTCAATTTCCTTAATTGGGCTGCCAACGAACAACTTCCAATCAAATTTCTTCTTTTTTTTTATAAACCAATCAGTACATTTTATAAGAACGTACCATGTTTATCTTCGTCATAAATAAATATTGTAAATTTCCAATTTTAGCCTTAAATATTGAATTTATCACAGGATATAGAGATGGAGATGACTTTTTCGTCTCAATTTCTACTGAATTATATATTACATTTCATGAATATCGAGTGCCTAATAGAAAGTAGACATATTTATTGTGAGATTTCCCGTCCGTTGGAGGGTGCAGAAACCTCTCCCCCTTAAATGAAAAGCCCAAAAAGTACAATATTTGCTTGCAATAGGCTTGGACCGTTACTAATGATATTGAAGTTAGACACCGAGTGATGTGCCAACAAAACGTTGGCCCCAAAGAGGAGTGAATTGTGAGATCTCACTGAGAGGAAAACAAAACATGCCTTCTAAATGTGTGGAAATATCTCCATAATAGACTCTTTTTAAAATTAAGAGGAAATTCAAATAAGACCATATTTGCCAGCTGTAACTTAGGCCATTATTCAAATAAGAATTAAAATGACAAACTATTATTCAATTAGCGGGTCTCTATAAAATTGTCGGAAGTAAATCTTAAACTTATTTGCTCTCTAAATATCATTTAATAGTCTAAAATTATGTGATTCATTAAGTTGATCTTCATCAAAATAATTTTTCTATATATTTTCTTCGCATAACTCAGTTGATTAAGACATGTACGATGATGTTACTCATTTTTTATTTAAAAAAAAAAAAAACATGAACAATATTGTAAGGTGAAGTGTTGAAGAACATAGCAAGCAGTTGATTACAAATTCTAAACTTATATTAAACATGAAAGATGGGAAGGTTTGATTAGAGCCAGAGAGCGCCAGCTTGTTTGAGGAGAGGGACAAGGGAGCCATTAATATGGGACGACATGAGAGTTTCGAGGCCACCGAGGAACTTGCCGCCGACAAAGACAGCGGGAATGGGGTGGGGCTGGTGAGGGAGGAGGTGGTGGAGAACGGCCTGGATGTCGTTGGCGACGGAGGAATGGGAGAGGTGATCGAGCTCGACGATTGTGGGGCCGACACCGAGGCCGAAGAGGAGGCGCTTGACGACGGTGCACATACAGCAGCCGCTGATGCTGAAAACAACGACGGCATTGCAGTCGGCCAGGTGGCGGACAAGGTGGTAAGGCTTCCCTGATTCATCCATCTCCATTGGAAAGGAAATAAACAAAGTTGGCTGATTTTGTTCTATTTATATGGTCGTGCCTTTTTCTTTTACCTTTTTACAAATTTGGTACTTATACTTTCAAGAAATTAAAATTTAGTCCCTATATTATCCAAAATTTAGGTTTCTAATTTAGAAATATACTGCTTTTAATTGATTTAAAAGTTGGGTATTTAAAATAATAATAATAATATTGTAATTTATTTTAAAAAATTAAGGGAGAAAGCGAGAGGCTTATGAGAGAGGGCGGTCAGCGGTCAAAGCTCCGATTGTAACAGATTCGTCATACAAATTTAACTGCCCCTATCTGACTGTGGGACCCACTACTTTTCTTTTTGCTTTTTTCAAAATATTAACGAATTATGTCTAAAATAGAAACGAAAAAAACAATCTTCTTTCAAATAATAATTTGCAACAAAATAAGAACTTTTAATAATACCAATTCATTGGTTTATATTAAAAAAATAAAAATTATAAATGTTTTTAAATGACCATTTAAAAATAATAATAAATAATAGAAAATATTATTTTAAACGATTTTTGAAACAAAAGCTTACACTCTGTGCTACAAAATTTTATTTTATTTGGTTGTTTAAGTTGATGATACAATTGAATGAAATTAAAATTTATAAATTTGATGTTTTTCTCAATAAATAAAAGTAAATTCAAAATTGGAAAACGACGTCGTTAGGTTTTACCCAAAAAAGTGGAGGGGATTCTGAGGAGGGGGAAAAAAATGGTGCCGACAGGTCGACAAAGAACGACTGAAACGCCGTCGTTTGACGGTCAGCGTTTGTCCCTTGTCCTTTTCTTCTCTTGTTCAGCTGTTCTCTTTCTTTCTTTCTTTCGCCCTCTCTTTCTTCAATCTTTTTGCTTTCTAACGGAATGTTATATTATTTGCAACCTAACCCCTCCACTTTTTGTTTTTTCTCCTAATCCCCCCGGATTATTTCTTATACGAGAAATAGACCTTCTAGTAACCAGTTCTTGTAAAATTTAGGGTTTAAGGAGGGTTTGGATTCAATTTGAGATGAAGGAGATTGTTTCTAAATACGAGTTTTTGTGGAAGTTTACTCTTTTCTCCGACTTTTCTAGATTATCTATTTTTGTTTACAAGAACCTCGTAGAGCTTTAGTTATTAGACTGTCCATCGAGACGAGCTAATTCATCGCTCTTCTTTTGTTCTTTTGAATGATGCTAGTAGAAAGGTGTCTTTCATGGTCCTAGTTTACCCCCTTTTTTGTCAAATTGGGGTAATGACCATTCCAATATTGTGAGGATCGGGTGGATGCTCAGGCACGAAAAGGTCCATAGCAAGTTAAGTTTTTAAAATTAGACATTTTCTAGAAAAAAATTTAAACTATATCTTTGACTCAAATTTATGATATTATTGTGATTTAATTTTTCTTATTTGTTAATTTTAATATATAATTTACATGCAAATCATTGACAAGTAATCACCATTAATCAGTACATCAGACAATCAAATAACTATAGGAAGAAATAATAATTATAATATACAATTTGTACACAAAATAAATAATTTTTTTTTTTAAAAAAAAAAGACAATTAGAACATACATGTAGAAAAAATGAATCGAAAATGGATCGAAAAGTGGTGGTGTTTCAGTCTAGAGCAAAAGTAAAGAAGCCAAAAATGTTATGGAAAAAATTACACCAACGGGAACGGAGGGCGGCGAGTTTGATCCGTAGCCTCCCCCAGAATCCCACGATGCAGCTCTCATTCCGGCTGACTAAAGTCGCCGCCGATTGAAGGTATGCCGACGCCGCCCTTTTCACCAGCTCATTTCGGATCGAAATGTTCGGAGAACTGAACTCATTGAAGTCATTTACGCCGCTGTACGACGGTGAGTTCAGGAGAACGTCCTTCAGGCTGGTATACCGGAGGTCATCGCTGCCGTCGGAATCTCTGGTGCTGGAGTGCCGGGAGAGCTTCAAAGAGGATACGTTCAGAAGCTTATTAGCCTCTGTTGTTGTTGGTGGTGTTGGTGGTGGTGGTGGTGGGCTGTCCATTGTTGTGGGATTCAAAATCAAAGGCGTCGATAGGGAAGATATGGGATTGTAGCCATTAAAGGAGTTCGAGGATTTGGACCCAAATCCTTGTTTTCGCTTCAGATTCTGAAGGAGATTGGAATTTTGGGTTGTGAATGGTCTATGGTTTTGTTGAAGGCAGCCATGGAAGGACCTTGACTCGGGCGATTAGGATTTGAGGCCATGGATGGTTTGGGGAGTTTGCGGTTTTCATTAAGGTGCGGCCAAAAACAGAGAATTTTGTGCGGAATCATTCAATTCCATACACAAATAATAGCTATTTTCTAAAAAATCCGTCGAGGTCGGACTCTCCACCATGAATCCTCATTTAAATGGTTAATACCCCACTTAGAATCCTCGTTTAAAGGGATAATTTCTCATTAAGAATTCTTAAACTTCCTAAATGGAACAAAAACTACTGCGAAGTAAACTATCAACTAATCCATACATAAGAAATGAGATGGTAGTCATAGTAATTAAAGCATTGGAGAGAATGTAGATTATTAACATCTAACCTCATATAAACGGTAGCTTCTACTTGGAAGATCGACCCATCAACAACTTTCCTTTGATGAATTGCAACGCGAAGAACAATCTTGTTATTATCGGACGGTTTTAGCAGATTCCTCTTTGTTCTTCCACTAAATCCCAATCGGGTTATATTTTTTAAGTTATGAACAAACTTAACCTTCTAGCCTTTGCTCCAGATTTGATTATGGATTTCAAGCAATGTGCTCCGCCAAAGTAAGAATCTTTACGTGTTTTTTCTTCCTGAGTTCATGAGGAACTGGGCCAAACACTCTTGTCCCAATAGGTTGGCCTTGCTTATCAACAAATACTACAGCATTATCATCAAACTTGACCTCGCTCCCATCACAACGACCTTTTTGCATTGCAGCTCGAACAACCACTCCATATACAACCTTTCCTTTCTTCACTTTTCCATTTGGATGGGCTTCCTTCACGGATGCGACGATCGTGTCTCCCAGTCGTGCTCCTTTCTTCCCCTTCAATGCTTGTATGCACATCACTTTCTTTGCCCCTGAGTTATCCACTACTTTGAGCACAGTCCTCATCTGTATGAAAGTTCTTTGTTGCTGCACAAGGATAACATATACACAAGGTTGCTTCCTTAGCATTTTATGCCACTTGCAATGATTCAAAAATTTCAATCTCTCTTCACATTATTAATTTTCCTCTTGAGTAAACATGAACATGTGCATAAGCAAGCAAAAATTCAGTTTATAAACAATGAGATTCTTTTCTTACCGCCTATGCTCATGCATAAAATGCTTCCTTAGCATTTTATGCCTCTTGCAATGATTCAAAAATTTCAATCTCTCTTCACATTATTAATTTTCCTCTTGAGTAAACATGAACATGTGCATAAGCAAGCAAAAATTCAGTTTATAAACAATGAGATTCTTTTCTTACCGCCTATGCTCATGCATAAAATGCTTCCTTAGCATTTTATGCCTCTTGCAATGATTCAAAAATTTCAATCTCTCTTCACATTATTAATTTTCCTCTTGAGTAAACATGAACATGTGCATAAGCAAGCAAAAATTCAGTTTATAAACAATGAGATTCTTTTCTTACCGCCTATGCTCATGCATATGAGTATAAACTAGTTAACATTACACGTAACTTTCTTTCCATTGATTCTCTTTTTAGGGGTTGAAAGTCAAATGAGAAGATTGAAATTCAGAGAAGAAGACCTGCGAAATGAAACTGCTGCATACTGTCTCACTTGATGAGCTCAATGAACCAGACAAAATGTTTCCAAGTCCACCCAATAATGAACGACCAACTAGTTTAATTTTTCAGAAACATTGAACATGAAACAATGAGCCAAAATTAGTTTCTCAACAACCAGAAATACAAAATTAAATTGAGACAAATATATATGATGAGAAAAATCAATTAAGAAAAGAAACAAAACAACAAGCATTTCCGAAGCTTAATCAAGTAAAATCAAGGTTCAACACAAGCAAAAAGATCTTAAAAGAACGGATTACAGAGCCTCTAGAAGTAGAAGCTCTAATTCAAAGAACAAAAGAAATTCCAGTATTCACACCAAGATCTTTCAGAAAGCCGCATACCGCGGGAACACTTGGAAGCAAAAGAAGCAGCAGCCATATCCGAACTTTGATCACCACAACACCGCGGGGAAAGAGACGAAGACGAACGATGGCGACATGAACTCGGGAGCTTCTGCCGTTAGGGTTTTTGGGCTGGGCTTGACTCACGACCCATAATCCTAAATGGGCCACGGCCCAAAACCCACTAAGACATAAATTACAAAAACTAGCTAAAAATGTAATAATTTTTTGATATTTTAAAAATAGCCATTTAGCCAACCATTAACACGGAATTCAAAATTAAAATTTTTATTACATTTTTAATATTTTAAAACTTTAATTTAACCAAAGTTTTTAAAAAAATTGTGTGAAAAAGAAAAGGTTTATATGCTTAGGGTTAGGGTGACCATGACACGTGTAGTGGGTCTTTATGTTGGCATTCAGAAGCGAGCCCACTCGCTCTCGACACCGACACGTGCCCCTGCCTCGAGCGTGCCATCTTCTGGGCCCCACCAGCATTCACCAATCACCACCCTCAACATCTACATCAAACCTATCTCCTTAGCTCCTTTTAAATAAAAATAATTTTTATTATTAAATTTGAATATTATTTTGTTAAAACTTAAAATAAGAATAAGTTAAATTACAGTTGGGCACCAAAAATTATAAATAATTATGCAAATGGTGCTAGGTACGTAAAGAAAAGGGGGTTTTGAAGGGAGTGTGCATAAATATATTTTTAAAATAAATAAAAGTGGGTGTATTATAAAAATAGAAGAAAATATTATGGGTGTATTATTTTAATGTCGGCTTCTTTTTACCCGGCAAGTGATTCGTTTTTGGTTTCCGTGTACACGCCCTCGCATTCTTATTATTTAAACCTAATTGTTTATTAATCATCATTACCAACGTTTTACGGATAATTAACCTCAATTTAATTATTTATATCAATCCTAACCTCTTCCAAAGTTATATATATATATATATATATATCATAGTAATTATTGTAATAACTCAAGTTTTCATGATCTTATAAAGAGTTATTCGTTTCTTTCTCCAATCGATCTGAGATCTTGCAATCTATCCTCTTGGTGGCAAGAATCCTCGTTAGCACACCCTGTGTCTGGCTCTGATACCATTTGTAACAACCTAAATCTACCGCTAGTGATATTATTCGCTTTGGCTCATTATGATAAAAAATTTGTTCCCCTACGAGATCCCACAACCATTTAGAGGGGAACGAAACAATCCTTAGAAGGGTGTGAAAATCTCTCATTGATAGAAGAATTTTAAAATCGTAAGGCTCAGCAAACAATATTTATTAGCGGTGGGTTTGAGTTTGGAGAGTTTAAATTATTTCTTTAATTGATAATTTATATTTTATATTATAATTTTTTATTGAAAAGTGTAAAATGTTTTATTAAATCTCATAATATAATATAATATTATATAAAAACATATTTTATAATTTATATTTAAATATTACCAAATATGGGAAGCAATATTTACCAATAATACTAATAACAAGGTTTAAGCAATATTTACCAAAAATGGGAAGCAACAAGACACATTATTGGTTGTACGGACAGTTTAGTTTATATCCTAATTAGCAATGGAATATCCCAATTACCAGTACGTTAAATTCAATTAATTAATCCTCCTAATTAATTAATTATATATCTAATTCCTCTATCACCAAGTGTTTAAAAAAAATATATAAAAAATTAACATAAACACGAATCTTTTTCCTCCACGAACACCACTTTTAAAACACCTCTCAATTAAACCCTCCTTGACTCATAATTTACGAACAATGCCACTACAACATCATTTTTTTTAACCTAAGAATAATATTTCATGCGAAGATATTATAATTCAATTTATATTAAGCTTATACGTCTCCATTTTATATATAAATTCCCTTTTTAAATTATAATCTACATTTTAATTTTTTTTTAATTATAATGGCTAATTAAATTTATTAAATTAGGAGTATATTTATACGCCAATGAATTGAAGCTAGTATAGTTTAATAGGTTTAAATGCAATAAATTTATTACCCATTCAATGCATTTTGATGTAATAAAATGTCCATCCCCACCATTGACTAAGCTCGAGGGTTTTTATATGATTGGATAATCCGACCAACTCAGATTATTCAATTCAAATTCGGCTAACCTAAAACACAGAATTTCAACTCAATTCTAGTATGAAGTATATTAAAAATATTTAACGTTTATAATGTGTTACAATTAGTAAAATGTTTGATATTTAAATTTTACGAGATTTTAATTATTAATATCTGCTTAAAGAATAGAGAATTGAGTTAGGTTGTGAGTTTTGTTTGGACTGTCTGGGACAACAGTCCAACCCACTTCAAATCTCGATTCAAAATTCTTTTAAATTAAAATAAAGAAAAAAGGAAAATTAATTTTCCTCAAAATTATTGTCGTTGATAAGAATGCGGACACCTTATTTATGGACAACGAAAAAAACAGTGATGACGTCATCCACATGATTCGATCTTGAAAAAAAGGCACAATGTTTCTATTTCTATCTTGATTGAAAAATGGGAAAAAAAAATGGAGGTGAGAGAGACACTCACATTTTTTTTAAATCAAATTTATTTACTTTAAAGAAAAAAAAATCCAAGTACTTGGAAATTGGAAATTGACACAACCTACGTGCCTTCCAATCTAAATTGCTATTTAATTCTAAATTTAAATTAATTTCAATTATATAAATAAAAAAATATATAAAGAGGTGAAAAGGGTCCAAATATAATAATTAAATTAACAATAAGTCAAAATTATATAGACAAAATAATAATAATAATAATGTAACTACCATTATTATAAATAGGTAGGTGGATTTAAAAGCTATATTGTTAACCATAATAATAATTATTTCTTGGGTTTAATAAATAGGGTGTTGGATTTAATTCTATGACATAAGGTGGCACCATTATTTTTTAATGCAAAGTTAATATTTAATTAAATTTAATACGTTTCTTAAAAAGGATATTAAGCTAAAGTAGAGTATCTTGATTTTTTAAAAAAAGAAATTAGGGGAAAAAATCCATAAGAACGAGGGGCATATTTAAAGCAAGGAACGGCGGAGTGTCGGAGCTTTCCCGATAAGTCCGGTGACCCCCTCCCTAAAAAAATAAAAATAAAAAAGGAAAAAAAAAATTAAATAAAAGAAAAGAAAAACAAACTCACACTTATTCCCTTCTTCTTCATTTCTGCAGTTCTTCGCTTTCATTTCACAATTCTCTTTCCTGGTCTCTCTCGATTTTTCCCGCCGTTTATTGTCTTCTGTCTTCCCGAACTGTGGAATCGACCGTTTTGTTTCAGGATTTGAAGTGGAGACATTATATATTCTTTCTTCTCCATGGAATTCTTCGGTATTTGTATCTGTTACGGTGAGAATTGATTAATCGATCATCTGAACTTCGATTTTGTTGAGTTTAGTTTTTCATTTACTGGTATCGAGACGTGATGTGGTTGGTGTGAAATTTTGTGTTACTTGTAGTTGCAGAAAGCGGAGGAGAAGAAAATTTCCATGGCAGTATTTGAGATTGAGCTACTTGCAGGATTTTCTGTGTCTTGCATTCTTTTCACTCGAGGTATATATGTTGTTCGAAGAACGATGACCTAGATAGAAGAATTGAATCGAGGCTTGGGATTCCGTAGTGGTTAATTTTGTTTTGTGATCGAGTGTTTGATTTTTTGATGGCTTTGTTGAGTTTGTTTTTGGTTCTTGTTTTTGTTTTAAAGTGGAATTTTGAGTATGAAGAAGATGATTTCTACTGTTGGAGAGTAATTTTGGTTCGAGAGATTGCAGATCTGTAGCGTTTTTTCTATGTAGGTAAGCGATTTGAGGAAATTCTAAAAATATATACGAACACCAAGCTATGTGAATCTAGGTTTAGGTCTTGCCTCTGAGATGTAAACACCTGTCACCCGTATAATTGATGTATGCGTAATCGGTTCCCCGGTCCCAACATTGTCCTCAGCTTGATAAATTTAATAGTTTCTTGTTTGTGCTTGTGTGGATAATTTGGAAACATGAATTTGTTAGTTTTGTTTTGTTTTAAAATCTTAAATATATTTGACGAGTTGTCGTGTTAATGTGAATGTCTGCCATTTTTAGAACCAGTGATGAAGCTTTAAATACTGCGCGAGGGGAGAGTCTTGTTAGCTCAGATCCGTGAGTTCTTGCTCTATAACTCTACTTTTTTTTTTCAAAGATTTTTCCAAGTTCTGTACAGAAAAAGAAACAACGAAAAAAGAAGGTGAGATTAAGCCGTATTTGACAGTGAGAAAGGGACTGAAGGGAGGGAGTTTCTGTTTAAAATGGGTATTTTACGGATTTGTAAAAGCTTATCTTCTTTAAGAAATGCTTTTAAGAGGCGGGGTGTCATTTCTCTCTCTCTCCTTCTGTAGGTTTTAAAACGAGGTTTGCAGACTTGAGGAGGTGAGACTGCGAGGCCTGAGATAGGCAGCGTCTTTTGCCTTTGGAGAGCACACAATTTCTGCAACTTTAGAAAGTTTTGAACGAAAGAGCGGCCTGCTGTGCTGACTACAGATTGCGATATAACGAAGGGTAAAAGAAGCCATTTTAATTACTACACAGACAGCACAAAGTGAAGAAGTAATCCCTGAATTACCAGTCATCAATATGTACAGAATACAAACACCCCACCTGTTGCAGCTCAACATTGGCGCATCTTATTTCTCTCTCTAGACAACCTGCACAAAGCCCCTCTTTCCCTCTCTGAAGAGGTGGAAATAAAACAAGGGATAAAGAGCACCTGTCAAAGGTCAAAAGGGGTCTCCATTTACGGATCTTTGTTTGAGTAGTTAAGGAATGAAAGTGTCATGGAGGTGGTGGATAATATTCAAGAACAACCGCGTAAGTTTCCAAGGTTAGCAAATGGTAGAAGTAGCGACTCCACTAAGATAGGATTTAAAGGGGTTGAGAACATTCACCCGGAGGATGAAGAAGACAAAGAATCTAAAAGGGTTGGCGGTAGCACTGCTGGAGTTGTCCGTGGAGGAGCTGATGATGATGCTAATCAGCTCCGTGGGTGGCACCACTCCCGGATTATTAGGGTTTCTCGAGCTTC